GATGGATGACTCTCAAGTCTCTGGATCAGAGAGTTACCTCAGCAAAGGCCTCAAAGAGAGGGAAGTGGAGCCACTTGAGGAAGCCCAGGGACTTGGCGCAGCGCATGACGTCCAACGGGCTGAGCTCAGGAACTCTGGGCAACAACTCACTGGCCATTCGCTGAAAAACCTGAGAATGGTTGAAGTTCAGCTTCCCTAAAGATGGCGGGGACAGGATGGTTGTGGTGAGGCATGCATCCCTGTGCACGGGTGAATCTGCAGCTAGGTCATGATTAGAGGAAGTACCGTATGCAAAGGCCAGGTCCAATATTAGAGGAGTGGTGAACTCTGACGAGGGCTTCTGGAGGAGGTGGTAGGACACGGCTCTCAGCAGCGGGACACTTCTCCGACTCTGAGCTGCCAAAGACACGCAGACTTTCCGAATGTCTTCAGCTGAGAAGCTCTCCGCCAGTTCCAACGCCTTCAGAGACAACAAAAGAGCCTCAGTGACGTCTGAGAGGATAAAAGTCACCCGCTCAAACCTGAGGAGTTAAACAGAGAGGACAACCCGGTACCTTGTCTTCAAGTCTGTCCATCAGCGTGGGAGACATGTGTCCCCCGTTGGCTATCAACACACTGACGGTCTTGGCGTCAGCGATTTCGGTCCAGCGCAGCTCCAGCTGTTTTAAAGCAGCGCTGACTAGCGCCACATCCCGGGGAGCTCTCCTGGCCGCTCCCCAGTCCACCAGGTGGCCCAGATGTTTGTACGTCAGCCTGCGGAGTCTCCACAGGACCTCCGTCTGCACGGAGCCGAGGGCCGCATCGGTGGAGGGGACTTTCATCGCCCACAGCGTTCGTAAAACATTCACCAGGTTTCCATTCCACACCGCTGACACCTGTGGAGCATCAACGGACCAATAAAGACGTCCGACATGACGGGCCGAGGCCGCAGCTCTGAGCGAAGTCACATTAAACTGACAGAATCTTGTTTATGTTAGCATAAACCTCGTTACTATGACTACCCGCTTCCACCTGAACGATGCTGCTAGAATCAGAACCATCGTGGCCCAAAGCGATGCAGAAAAACGAGCCGGTTCATTTTCTGCTTCCAGGCTTTTAGTTAATGTCATTCTTTATTCAAAATGAAACTCGCCTGCAGCTCGGCCCGAAGAGGAGCCACATTCCTCTGGCTTAAGCATCACTTTCCTGCTCGGGGGATGGTGCTGAAGTAGTCAAAGCCAGCTGGGTTCTGCGTTTGTACAGAATCTAACCGACTTGGACCTAAACTACGCAGGATTTTTTGAGTGCATGGACTTTGTGGTACACTGGCACTGAACTGAACTATGCTGAGTCATGTTTACAGAGCAGAGCCTCCTCACCTGTCGAGACATAGACCTCATCATATCCTGCAGCCTTGCATCCATCTGCTGCTCTGGATCGTGTCCCTCGAATTCGCCTCGAGTCTTTAGCATCAGCTGAGTCCACCTCACCAGGGCTGCAGCAGCTTGGTTCCCGCTGCCTCCGTGCTCCGCCCACGCACACAGGACGTCCTCTGGGGCTGCTGCCTTGTCCAGCAGCTCGTCCAGCTGGGTGTGAGGTGGAGTGGTAGGGTACGGCTCATCTTTGATCCCTGTCTTCTCACACAGGAACCTCTGAGTGTCCCACAGCCAGCCCTTAGACCTCAGAACCTCAGCAGGTCCAGCTGCAGCGGGGGGCAAGCGTGCCGCAGCCTGAGGGGAAGACCAGCTCAGCAGGCGGACACATCTACCCACCAGGCGGCTCGCCATCGGACCGGAGACCGCAGGCGTCTCACAGCTCAGACAGGACGGTCACCACATCACACTGGACCTGTAGAAGAACCAGAAGGGTTCGTGTTAGTCAGAACCGGCTGCTCCTGTCATCGTGTAGCAGATCCTGACCTTCATGGAAAGGAAGGGACGCACCGGAACAAATACGAACCCGTTCCCGCTCTTCCGGTTGAGTTTACTATGAACACCGGTGGGGCAGACACAAGCGTCCGTCGCAGTCTCACACCGCTCACCCGAATTTAGGGAGAATTACACCAAAAGCGCCTCTCACATGAGAAAATCCTAGCCGGAGCAACGTCGCAGGAAAATGACGTCAAGGAGTGTCGTCACGTGGTTAACGTACAGCGCGGCGATTGGCTGAGATGTCCTCTGCAGAATTTCAGCTGTAACCATAGATGTGTGTGTATTTATAGGTTTATATGGCTGTAGCCGCACGTTTAGAGACGGACACTTTTCGGAGTTAAATCTAATTCAAACGAAGTTCAATCTTCGTAGAGCGACTTTTAAAAGAGCTGAAGTATCGACAGCTCAGAACCTGTTGTCTGCTTTTAAATTACACGTTTGTTTTAAAGACACGCGTTTTCTAAACTAAAGCTATAGAAAAGATGGTCTTCTTCCTTTTCTAAACTAAATAAATTTGTTCCCATTAGAAACAGAAATTTAGGAGGAAAATGTGTGTTTTCTGATCTTCAATTCTCCTTTGTAACAAAATATTTCTAAAAATATTTTCCCAAAGAGAAGAAACCTGCTGCCTTCCTAGTTGAACACCTTTCTGCCTAACTCAGGTGTCTGTACTACGGAAAGGCAAAATAAAACACTCAGAGGGTGCAATCATGAGCTGTACTTCTGAAACTCGCCTTCTAAACGATTCATTCCCAGAGACTATTTCTGAGAGGAATGATAAAAATCCAGATGACTAATTCAACACAAAAATAAATGTAACATTTAATAATCTAATAAACAGTAAAATACAATCACAGATATTTTAGACAACAACTAGCACTTGAATCATTTCTGGCAGTTGTCACATTGCATGGAAGTATTTAAAGTCAGCAAAAACAGATGGCAGAATTTACAAGGTTTTCAAAAATAGAAATGTTTCTATTAAAAAAGTCTAACTATATATTTACTGATCTGTTTTCGACAGTAAACCTCATTTATTACTCCAATATTGCTGCAAACACGTTTATTATTTCCCTGTCCCTCGGTCCGTTTCTCCTTTGAAAATCTGTGATGACATTTTGTCCTATTCAACTTTGCCATCCCGCCGTGCAGACCCACTCAGGGCGTAGCGGTCCTCAGCAGAGCGTCTGGATGTTGTCGGAATGGGCCAGCAGCTCCTTCACCACAGCGAGGCTGTCCAGGTCCACCACCAACACCCAGCTTCTCAACAGACCGTCACAATAACCTCCACCACTGCTCCGCCCACGGCAGCCCACCCAGATCTGGGAACAGAAACATCAGCAGCATTAAAACCACGCCGCCGCTCCAGAGCCACAAACACGCTGAAGACAACCCCACCTGGTTCGGATCATGCAGGTGATCCTGAAGGTCTGGGAAGGGAGATCCTTCTGAGCGGATGTTTGGAGCTGTTGGTTTGCCACAGACACAACTCCACGGAGTCTGAGCAGCCTGTGAATAACAGCCCTCGCTGCAACACACACCGTTTGCCGAGATGCTTTAAGGAGATCATCAAAAACCAACAAAAATTAAACCAACAGATCTTTGTTGTTGTAAACAACATCGTCCACTGTTTTTATTCAAGAGTTAAAAGATAAATGACCCGGACTTGTGTAGTCTTTCAGAGTCAGGACTCCAAAGCGCTTTACACTACAGTGTACCAAACACACACACACACACACACACACACACACACGAGCTGCGATGTAGGGCGCACTGACGGAGGCGAGGCCTACCAAACACAGGCGCCACCGGTCCCTCTGACCACCACCAGCAGGCAACGAGGGTTAGGATTCTTGCTCAAGGACACAACAGCAGAGTTCTCAGCCAGGATTGATCCTCCACCCCTCCAACTTATGGACAACCTGCTCTACCTCCTGAGCTACTGCTGCCCGGCAGGATCTGGAGTCTTACTTCCTGATATCCGCACATCTCTCCTCTGATTGGTTAACAGCAACACGACTCTACCACTGACTCTGGTTGCTCTGCTACGTTGATGTTTTATCTCCACAAATAACACAAACCTGGAGGAGTGCTGCTGTGTGGTGGTGTTGCTAATGCTAATGTTAGCTTCTACTAGCCGAGACGTTCTCTGCTGTTTCCTGGACGCTAAACCAACAACAGCTTCCCCGTCGTGAGTCCAGATGGGTGAGTCCATGAATGTTAGTGACAGGGTGACGTAGATCCGTCAGGATTTTCTATCCTAGAGTTTCACCGTCTGTTTTCTATCAGAAGCTACTGCAGGAGATGGTGTAGGAGACTATCTTCATGTTCAGCCTTGATGTGAACCCACGAGTGACCCATCATTTTAAAAATAAACAAGTTTTACACATTTCTCAGTAAACCTCCTTTTAACAAACCGAAACTCACCTCTGAGGTGACGACAAAGCACCTGAAGCTACTGGGCATGCTCTGCAAATCACCAGGAAGTGTTATCGTCCTTTGTGGTGTACCGTTCTTTTTGAGCTCCACAATGCTGTCACCACAACCTGCACAAACACTCGTGTTACAATAATATTCACTTCTTTCAGACTCCGAAGTTTGTTGACAAGCGGAGGGAAGGACATGCTCACCTGCTGTTGACGTGTCTGGGGTCCACAGCGAGACCAGTCACTTCCTGTCTGTGTTCAGTCAGCTGCTTGTTGCAGCACATGCTGAGTGTGTTGATGATGTAGATAACAGAGTCCTGAGATCCCATCCACACCTGATCCTGGACCAGCCCCATCACGCAGGTCTACGTGGAGAAAATGCAGCATGACCTGTTTGTTTTACCGCCTCAAAACCAGGCTAAGAAAATGCACTGACACAGTATAAACTACATTTATTCATGATAAATGACACACTTTAGCAACAATAAAGATTTTATTAAATGTAAACGGTTAAAAACTGTTTTGTTGCCACATTAAAAGCACAAGAGAACGGCCGGTCTTCAGCCAGGGATTTACCAGTTACAGATTTCACCTGAAGAAGTCAAACTAAATACAATTAAATAAAAGTCAAACATGACTTTCTCCCTCCGTGCATAAATACTCCGAATTTCTACTTCCCATTTCCCGACCAGTCCAAACTACTTACTCACATCTAACAGTTTAAAACAGGCGTAGCTAATCAGTTTGGATCCTTTTGAATGAACTTCGCCTGTTCTCACCACTTGGGAGCGCCCGATCTGAATGTCGCTGTGCAGCATCTTTCCGGAACTGCGCTGCTCTGGGTGGCTGCATGTTGGAGTAGCTCTGTTGACTATATACGTTTTGCCTTTTCTTGGACATTTTTTCTTCTGCTTTCTCGGGAGGAATGGTATTTTTTTTGGACATTTTACTTTTCCGTTTCTGGTGCTGTGAAGCTTGGAGGATTTTTACAGCTATTTCTTAACTTTTTTCACTTTTTGAGCATTTGTTATGATGTGTAACCATGGCAACCAGCTGGTTTACAATCGGGAGCAGCTGATTAACATTGGGAAGGCTGAAATAATACCTCAACTGCAGCCACAAATCCCAAATGAGATAAAACGCTCATCTGATATCTGATCATTATTATGCATAAGAGGTACACCTGATGATGGCTCCTTTTATGTTAAATCGCGTTTAGAGGGACAGGATGACAGAATTTAAAATGCAAACAAAAAATACATCTTTTAAAAAGTAATGAAGTTATTGAATATAATATAATATTTAAAGCTTTCTTTATTTGTACTTTACTTGTTTTCTTCAGGTCTACTTTTTACTTTTACTTCACTCATTTTTAAAGCCACTATCTGTACTTCCTACTTCACTACAATGAGGAGCCTAGGTCTCCTCTCTTCCCGGTCGGCTCATGGGTCCCGGAAGAACGAACACATGAACGCAAGTCAACGGGGCTAAAAACGCTGTTTTCTAATCCGTTTTGCCTTACGTCCTGGATCACACACATATGTTGTATTTCAGTTTAAATGTAATCCAACGATGGGTGCTTCAATCACGCCAGTCACGTTGAAATTTCTCAGCTTGTAAAAGTTCGATGTTAGCATGACTACAATCGGCGCGTTGCATAAATGACGTCACCACAGAATCTCAGCCATTTTCCCTGTTTTTCTCCGTGTCTGCTTCGATGACGTCACTTTCATAAAGCACATGTAGTCCTGGACTTATTATACAAAACTTAAAATAACGTTTCCCCCCTTTCGAAAATAAGCGCGTTCTTGGTATTAAAATGCATCTTCACGGACATCATGTGTGAAGTCCATGGCACATAACAAGCAGAATTAGAAAAAGCGTCGTTAGCACCGTTGACTTACATTCATTTGTTTTTCTGGGGACCCGTGGTCCGGAAGTAGATGGGCGTGACTTAGGCTCCCTATGGAGCGCTGTCTGGCACCTATGATAGGCTGTCACTATGGTAAAGCTGTGGAATCGTGCGTTACCATAGTTACAGCTCAGGTGCATCTTTTAAAATGCTTTATTAAAGAGCAAGTCACCCCCAAATAAACTTTTTTTTGCTGATAAACTAAATAAACGAGTGTCTAATCGTGCTGCAGACACGTGTCGTCAATAATTTGGCACTTCAGTGCATCTTAGTTAAAATTTAAATATTCTGCCTAAAACTGGCAGTGTTGTGCCGTTGTCAGGTAAAAACTCTGCACTGTATTCTAATTTAAATCTGCCACCGCTATTGGCTAAGAAGTATGCTATGATGTAAACTGGTACATTATGATGTCACAATGCTGTCGTGAGCCTGTGTGTGTGTGTATTTGTTAGCGGCTCCGCCCTCTCGGTCTGCCAGGCAACAGCATGTGTTGCATTTTTCAAACATGAAGTGGAAGTTGAGTTAGACTCTGGTAGGGGTTGATTTGCTCTTTAAGGCTAGAAGTGAGTAGGACCTTTTCTCTGCGGTCTCTGTGTTTGCTGACTTTAGTCTTCCAGAGAGCAGCTCTAGCGGGTAATACAACAGCCACACACAACCCAGCCCAACATCTGACATGTTTAGACTTTCAGATTTTTCTGAAGTGTTTCCTGTGCTTTACTGGGAGACTTTAACATCCCTCAAGGTAATCTGGTTATATAAAATACACCTGCTGGAAAAAACTAAATAAACAACAACCCCTTAAGCAGGTCAGATAACAGATCAACAGTCAAGATAGAACTCATTTGAATCTTATATACGAGTTATAAACGTACATTTCTATAATCGTCCAGCTGGCTGCGTCAAACACAACCACCCTGCTCCCGCTGAGCCACCCACAGCCTCGGGTTCACCTCATCCTGAGAGCTGCTGCAGCTCAACTGCCCTGGAATAAAAAAAAACCCATCAAGAGCAGCAGATGAAGGGAAACACCCACTTCCTGTTCAGACAGGCCTGATAGGACGCCAGACGGCTCCAGACCAGCTTCAGCTCATCAGGTGTTCACATGAACGGATGAAACAGCCTCATGAAGACCAGAGAACATTTTATACTTCGTTCAGGTGAAACCAGCGTCGATTCTGGTCATTTCCCATTAACGGTTATCAATTCAATTCAAAGATACTTTATTAATCCCAGAGGGAAATTAGTTTCAGTACACACAATTCAGAGATCAGACGTACATGGACAAGACACATGACAAGAATTGGTGACTGTGGTCATTCGCAACCCTGAGTCGCTCTACCTTAATAGAGATCAGAGGGGTTTACACGAGGAATTGATTCGGGAGGATGGAAAAAATCAATGATCAATTTTAAAACTTGAAAATGACAGATTTTCAACACACTTATTTATTTTCTTATTTAAATAAAATTATCACTCAGCTGTCCTATTCAGGCCTTGTTTGGATTTTCAGTTAAACTGAATAAACCAGTTAAAACAGCAACTTTCATGATAATTTACCATCAATTTATGGAAACTGATCAGAAAACCATTGTTCTTTAAAGTGAAATGCCAAAGAAAATTCCTCCCAAGATGGCAGCGACTGAGTCTCGTGGATTCAGCCTTTCCTCTCGTGCGCTCCCAGTTTCACTGCTAACGACTCAGCGTCCAGAAGAGGCTGAAATAGGACTGAAACTTTCGACACATTAGAAATAACTAGATGCATGCTGAAGACGCTCTGTGGGACACCTGGAGGGTAGAGCAGCAGGTGCACCGTCTGAGGTTCTGCCAGGCCCACTGATGGGTTGATCTTGTGCTTCAGAGCCTCTGAGGTAGTTTCAGGTACAATCATAGGTGCTGCTTGGAGACAAGCACAGTAGGACTAATTATATTCATAAATGTGTGCAGACATTTCTATCATGTTGTTTATCCAATGATGAGAAAAACACAGAAAATATCAAATCAGCTTCTTCAACAGAAGAAATATCTAAATGTATAAAACTAGCAAACACTCGCTACAGATTCGATAGCCTTCCATTTGTCTGATTCCTAACTGATGCTATCTGACGCTAGCCTAGAGCTCTAGACAGACAGCAGAAGCTAAATGATTTTGGTCTGCATGTCGCTCTAGCCACGCCCACTGGAAGCTGCGCAGCCCCGACTAGTCTGCTGGTGGGCCAATCACAGTGCAGTATAGGTTTGGTGGGCCAATCACAGTGCAGTATTGGTTTGGTGGGCCAATCACAGCGCCCTATAGGTTTGGTGGGCCAATCACAGCGCTCTATTGGTTTGGTGGGCCAATCACAGTGCAGTATTGGTTTGGTGGGCCAATCACAGCGCCCTATAGGTTTGGTGGGCCAATCACAGTGCAGTATTGGTTTGGTGGGCCAATCACAGCGCCCTATAGGTTTGGTGGGCCAATCACAGCGCCCTATTGGTTTGGTGGGCCAATCACAGCGCTCTATTGGTTTGGTGGGCCAATCACAGTGCAGTATTGGTTTGGTGGGCCAATCACAGCGCCCTATAGGTTTGGTGGGCCAATCACAGTGCAGTATTGGTTTGGTGGGCCAATCACAGCGCCCTATTGGTTTGGTGGGCCAATCACAGCGCTCTATTGGTTTGGTGGGCCAATCACAGTGCAGTATTGGTTTGGTGGGCCAATCACAGCGCCCTATTGGTTTGGTGGGCCAATCACAGCGCCCTATTGGTTTGGTGGGCCAATCACAGCGCCCTATAGGTTTGGTGGGCCAATCACAGTGCAGTATTGGTTTGGTGGGCCAATCACAGCGCCCTATTGGTTTGGTGGGCCAATCACAGTGCAGTATTGGTTTGGTGGGCCAATCACAGCGCCCTATTGGTTTGGTGGGCCAATCACAGTGCAGTATTGGTTTGGTGGGCCAATCACAGCGCCCTATTGGTTTGGTGGGCCAATCACAGTGCAGTATTGGTTTGGTGGGCCAATCACAGCGCCCTATTGGTTTGGTGGGCCAATCACAGCGCCCTATAGGTTTGGTGGGCCAATCACAGCGCCCTATTGGTTTGGTGGGCGGGATGGTGCAAAGGTGGCGGCTGGTTTGAAACAGCTTCGGCATCAGCTCTGGACCATTCAGACTTGAGCTAAATAGCAGAAAAAGGTTGTATTTGTGTGTTTTTCAGCAGAGTACGGAGGACTGTTGCACTGACTGACTTCTAAAGCGGTGAGTGTGTCACGTTTGTTGTCCTATAGCATGCAGGGACAGCTTGAAACACCAGCGTAGATTCCGCCTCATGACCGAGCTCTCTCTATGGGTCGTGGCCAGATTATATATTCACATGTATAGGATGGCGTCCCGGGCTAATATGGCAGCAGGAGGAGTGGAGAAGAGCCACTATGGACCTTCATGCTTGATTTTATCAAAGTACGCCAGCTTTGAGGCAGCAGAGATGGAGTTCTGTGTCTGCAGGCAGCGAGCAACAGCGTCCATCAGCAGGACGTTGGTCAGAGCCGGAGTCATGTACAGAGGGTCCTGCAGAAAACCATAAGCACATAAAATCAGATGATGTGCAAGTTAAACAGCATCACCCCTACATCTTTAACGCACAGGCTCAAGCTGAACTCCACAGCTTACCCCGGCTTTCCACAGCAGCCGTCAGCAGCACATTACTGCAGCAGCACGTCATAGCTGCTGATAGGAACCGCTGTGGTCAACAGAACCTTTTCCACCGGAGCCGTCAGCAGCGCGAGTCGGCCGCGTCTCAGGAGCAGCATGTCGCGGCCTTTACGCGCCGGTTCTATTTTCTACGCGCGACGCCTCTGAAACGGGTCAAGTTCGACATTTTTGGGGAAGGAAAGACAGGAAATCGGACGCGGAAATGGAGAGAAGCTCCCGAGATTTTCAGAATAAAGAACGTACTGCCTTCCGGTCGCTTTACTTTAAAAAAGGTTACTAACTGTGCGGCCCCGTGAGAAGTTATCACCTAGCTAGCGGTCTCCTTTGTTTTTCAGGTCCGTGTTGGCGATTATAAAACGGACAGAATATAAAAACACAAACATTTTGGAGCCTTGTTGTAGTTTTCTCCTGCTTGTTGTTGTGTTTACTGACGAAGTCACTCGTGTGACTTCGTGCCCTGTCGGTGACAGCTGCTCCCCTGCTGCGTCGCGTCTCGTGGGAAGGGCCAAGCAGCAGCTAGACGTGCTGCTGCAGTAACGTGCTGCTGACGGCTCCCGTGGAAACCCGGGGTTAGTCACAGAAAAGGGCGGACACAGGAGAAGTGTTGAGACTTGTGCTGGTCGGCCATCTTGCGTCCAGCCCACATTTCTTTGACCAAGAGGTACAAAAGTTCAGTTTCTGTCTCCAGGTTGGCTTTGAATGTATGTAGGAGAACTTTGAATTGGATTCTGGACGTGACTGGGAGCCAGTGGAGATAAATCCCTAAAGCAGCAAAGCACGATCAAAAGTCCCACTTCTGCTGCAAAGTTAGAGTTTACCTTCCTGTAAGACAGCTGTTCACCCGGTTCTCTGGTTTTAAGGAACTCTTCACTGTGAAATACTCCATGTTCGTGGTTCAGATGGCTGCCAACATCCCTGTGGAGCACACACACACACACACACACACACACACACACACACACACACACACACACACACACACACACACACACACACACACACACACACACACACACACACACACACACACACACACACACACACACACACACACACACACACTTTACTTTACTAGGAGGCCAATCTGCTTCCTTTAGCTTCAGCTGAACCTGAATATGTTGACGATCAGCTCCAGTGCGATTCTTCGGATGTCTTGGTTTAATCCGTGTTGCCACGCTCTTCTTCGTGCACGCCGCTCCTCCATCTTGGTGCACGTCACACTGTGGATCTGATCCAAGTCAAAGTAGATGTGCAGGGACCGGCACCTGAACCAAGGTGATCAGAAAAGCCCTACAGCCTGACTCTCTATGTGAAAGAAGTTTGGATTTAATGCTCCTTTTTTAACAGACGTGTGTGAAACGGGGCGCAGCAGCTGCAGGAGGGTCAGGAACATCAACGGCATCAAAGGAACAGGTGGAAGCACTCGACCAAATCATCGGTTTGCTGAGGGGAGAAAGCTAATTAAAGAAGAGCAGCAGAGTTTTTATCATTTATGTTTTTAAAAGTCCAGTTTTCTTTCTCTTCAAATTCCATCTTTCAGTTCTTTCTAAAACACAGAAAAGGTTTAGTTACCTGCAACGTTTCGTTTGTAGCTGCAAGCATCATCAGGCTGACGCTGATGGTGGCGTCACTTCCTTCATTTATCCGCGTTGTCGCCCTCTGCTGCCCGTTCTGCCCTCTCCGACGATGCAGTCCCATGTGCGGTCCAGCGTGTAAACTCCATCGTCCCTGTTCATGGTCCCACATCCACGTCTCCTCATCTCTATAGCTTCTTTTATCCATCTTTTGTCTTTCTGCTGTTCGGTGTGTGATCCTTGTGTCGTCCCGGTCCATTACACGGTGTTCTCTTGTGCAGAAGAGAATTATCGTTCTTTCTCCTCTAATGGCGTCTGGATCGTTCGTGTATTACAGAAAAACTACACCTTGAATGGTTGTTGCTGCAGCTGGACAAGGTTGTCCCTTCTCACCAGAATTCACCACTTCATCGCCTGCTGGCCTGGTAACAAAGGGTGGAACCAGGCATGAAGAACCTCAGGTTCTAACTGGACTCACTCTGGGCTTCTGTTGCTGTCAAAAGCCTGAGAGGGAAACAGGTCGGTGTAGCGTACGCTGATGTCAAAAACAGCAGAACTTCTGAAGTTTCTAACTCACGTTCCTCGTGAAAGAAAGCCGAAAGGCTTCCTGAAGTTTTTCCCTGGATGCTCCAACCACCACGCATGCTTCCAGGAGAGCAAGCTGCAGACGGTCCACCATCGCTGAGAAGTCCTGGACGCACTTTTAAATCTCAGTTTGTTAAGATTTGCTACAAGAGTCCAAATTAACACAAGAAGACAAAGACCTGAAAGTCTGACTTGACTGGTATTTCTAACAATCACGGAGATAATAAGGAACAAATGTCATTTTCTTCACCTGTAGAGTAAAAATGTCTAAAGATGGAAACTTCTGCTGTGATAACAAGGCTTTATCAAAGCCTTCATGATGAAATCAGAGGATAGCATCCAGGAAGTTAGTTCCCAGAATCCGAATTTCATCTTGGATCTAATATTACCAACGACATGTGTGTACTTTAATTCTGCACATCTGTGGAAACGATCAGTTGGACATGAACTCTGAAGCCACTGACGTCGCTGTAGGAACAGGATCTGAAACCTTTTGGGAACTTTCCTCAGTTTAAAACACAATGGGACTTAAAAACACGAGATTAGAGACAAATGTTGATCTAATCCACATATGTCAGAGTCAAGGCCCGCGGGCCAGATGCGGCCCGCGGAGCATTTTTATGTGGCCCGCGAGATAAATATCAAAAATATATTAAAACTGGCCCGCTGGCCGATTTTACCGCAAAGACTACAACTCCCATGATGCTTTGCGGCGCCAGCGCGGAGCAGACGTGCCCCCTCCTTTGTGTTTTTTTCAGCACCGAGGCAGTCCAGTGTTGCCAGATGTACGATAATTATCGTATTTGTACCATAATTTTGGGCTCTGTACGATGTACGATCAATAGTTTCAAAAATCCTCAAATGTACGATAATTTCACATTGCACCTAGTAACACCGTCTTTTGCTGTGGCTTTCTCAAGTCAATTACATAATTTTAAACTGTTCTGAAGTCAGATTTCACCTCAGTGCTCACAGGTTTATAAATGTCTCCTACAAACTAATGAAAAAGAGAAGTTTGAAAGTGATGTGAAAAACGCTGAAATCAAGCTATGTGGCTTTTTAGCCGAGCACAACATTGCAATGAGAAGCACAGACCACTTAGTACAGCTGATTAAAGGCATTCTGCTGCGATAGACAGTGAATCAGATGAGATTGAGATCAGCAACTAGGTGAGTAGGCTGCTGTGTCATTTATTGGGTCAGTTTTTCCACTGCTGTGATGTTTTGTCGCGTGCTTTTAACCTATGTAGAGATGACATAAATAGGACTGCGCAAATGTGCATACTGTGTCAATGCGTGGAGGTCGGAGTGGTGCCGACACACTCTGCACGTTTATAAGCATTATATTACTGGTTTTAAAGATGTTTATTTAAACAGGGCAATATAAAACACCTTCTTTGTTATATTATATTGGAGTGAGAAGTCGTTTATAGAACATTATTATCAAATTTATAATGTACGATAATTTGTACTGAAAAACGATAATTTAAGCCTCTCTGTACGATATTGTGGGATTTTGGATCTGGCAACACTGAGGCAGTCAGAGGTAGTTGGGTGTCTGCAGCTCCGCTGTCTCGGACAAACTACACTCCTCTCACTCAGCGCCGAGTTCACTCAGCTGTTTTCTGACGTTGAAGCCCAGAAACGGAGATTCTAGCCGCTCAGTAATGTGTTCACGACTGAAAGAGAAAGTTTTCAAACTAACGTCCAGACAGAGCTGATATAACTCCAGCGAGCAGCGACACGCTCAAACCAGCACAACTCTGTGGTTGTGTTTCCTCCCCGACACACAACAACGTGGTCAAGCTGCTCAGACATGTTCATCAGCACAAACCTATGTGAGCACCTGTTGTCATCTAATGTTGTCATTATTATGATGAAGATGAACAAAACAACAGGAGTCTCCTCCTCAGCTCAGATCAACCCCATGATGCAGGTATCTGGCTGGAACAGGTGAGCATCCCAGTAAACCAGTGGAGCAAACTGAGCTTTAAATATGTTGGTTTGATGCTCTTTTTCTGCTCCAAAACATGAAAGTTAACAGGTGAGATGTTGCATTTTCATTTAAGATAAAATGATATTTTATTTTGTTGTTGCCCGTGAGAAAAGATTTAACCTACAGTAAACAGGAAGTGGAAAGGCTGCAGATAGATGAATAGAATAGAAAATCCCTTTATTGTTCCTCAGTGGGGAAAGCTAGACGTCACAGCAGCGATGACACGTATTACAGGAGAAAAAAGGAGAATAAAAATAAGAAAAATGAATAAACAAGAAAACATAAATCCTGAATAGATTTATAAAATGCTGATTATACCACAAGTAATGAATACCACTGATGCCTTTTATTTAAAACTGACTTGTTCGTGTGTCATTTGGTTATTCCACATTCAGTGTTAATGCAGAAATAAGTTTGTTTCCAAATTTAAAGGTTCAAAATTGCATATATGTTGATAAAGAAAATGTGCAAATTTGCCGTCACTTTTTCAAAAAATATTAAGTTTGGCCCTCGACTCCGTCCCAGAGTTTCATTTCGGCCCCGTGTGAGTTTGAGTTTGACACCCCTGATCTAATCTGTCAGGACTCTGATTTGAATGCACCAAACTGTAAAGCTAAATAATGAAAGTCTAGGAAAATAATTCTAGATCTTCTATTTGGAAGGGTTTTTTATTCCAGAATGACGCGTTTGAAGGTAGTTGGACTTTTCAGTAACACGTGTTTTAGTTGATAGTTAAACCAAACAGGTCAGAGCTAGAGTCAGACCTCCAGAGCAAAAACCTGCAAATCCCTTTTTAATATCAACACACATGGAAGTTGTCTCCGATTTCTGCTCTAAAATGTCACGAAACAAGAGGGGATAACCGATTTAACCGATCAGAAGACCTCGCTGCGATCCGTAGTAGTTCTACTG